AAGCTGCAGTGGGTTTTCTAAACCACCCTGGGCTGCTTGGGGTGGTTTATAAGCCATCCCAGGCTGGCTTATAAACGAGGCAAGGGAAGCAGAGGGGTCTGCACAACACATCATTCTGTCTTTACAACCCAAAACTGAGAGATCAGTTTGAGGATTATCTATGCCAATTTTGAGTTAGAAGGGATAAGAAATGGCTTATCGGTATGCGTTTAGAGCTTGTCTGGAAATTTCACAAGCATTCTCTGTTTTCTTTCTCAAAGGCTCGTCTTGGATAAATGCTATTGGCTGATTCCTCAGTTTATACAGCATCTTTCAGCAAATCATTTGTTGTGTCCAAGCTAGCACTTGCTGTGCCTTCGTAGTACCATAACACAGTTGTTGGGGCTTTTTGTTTGGTGTATAATAAAAAATGTGATTTCCATCAGCACTGCCCATATCTGTTTTTTTCATAAGGTCCTTCCTGGCATGTCCAATGATCTTGCAAAATGGAAAGGGCTGAATGAGGGTGGGTGTACCAGGGAGAGAGAAAAGAAGGGAAGGCAAGTGAATAGACGGGGAGGGAATTATTATGTCAGTTGGGGTTTTAGGGAAGCAGTTGTTTAGAAGAAAATAGGAGCTGCACTGTTAATTCTTCTTTAATAAATATATGCTAAATTATTTATGCTCTTATTTTATTGTACTGCAGGGGTGGGGAACCAAACAGTAGGCCTTTTTCAAAGTATAACTTCAAAGTTAACTCATTCTGAATTCTGGCTTTCCAACAGCTTTCCTTAGCACAGCCACTCTGTAGGACTCTATATGAAGCTATATTTCTTTGCTAGAACTCTAGGACTTCTGTTTGAGAGACAGAGAATAGTGTACCCTCCTATGACATAGAGTCTCTTAAGAACTGTGCATTCCAGAGTTGCTTAGCTCATGCTTGCATTTTCAGTGCACTCACAGGGAACCATTTCTGCTGTTAAATTTACTGGCCCTGAAAGAAAAAAAAAAAAAACTTTTTTTGGCCTAGAAACTATGCCTGTAAATAAGTTATCTGTAATTTACAAGTTTATAAACCTATTAGAGATTTATGGTACTGGGATTTTGTGATAATTTTTTTCCAGAATTCTGGCCATCTATAGAGTGGTGCTAAATTTCCTGAAATAATAATCAGCAATTCATATTAAAATGCATACATAACAATATCTCTTTGTTGAAATGAATGTGCGGTTGTTAAAATGCATGTTAAAGTGCCTCTGTATAAAGTCTTACCTTTCTAAATGGTGTGTGAGGACTGAAGCAGGCATTACTTTAAAGATGTAGCTCACAGCTACAAGTCTCCAGCCCAGTCCCCATATTTACAGCAGAGTAAATGCAGTGAGGCTGATCCTGGAGTTGCAGAAGTCTGGGGTGGGGGGGGGGGCTTTCCCCATTGTGGGCTCAATCCAGATGAGAGCCCCTGCTCCTGCATTTTCCATTGCAAATGGTGATCCATAAGCAAGTAAGCAAAGACCTCCTAACCTGGATCAGGTACATAACAAGGGAGGAACAGGGGTCAAAGATCCCATATGCTCCACACTAGATTGGACTGGGGGCCCTGCACCTACTCCACAGTAAAAATGAAAAATGACGCCTCTTGGACCAGATCTCTTATTATATTTCTTCTTTTTCTATTGAGTTTCTCATTTTCAATTCCAATTCTTGCCTGATCAGAGAGTTTTAAACACAGCCGTCCCAAAAGATCAAATGCAATCAACAGAGCTCCTTTGGTTTATTGTATTTTGTTGGGGACTTTCAATGTTTGCTTAAGCTCCAAAATGCTGTGAAATTAAGAGCCACACCCTTAACGAAGGAGCTATGGAGGCGCTATGCATTTAGTTCCAGCTTTCAGTACTGCCTTGCAGCTGGATGACTGTCAGTTACAGAACAGTGGATAAAAATCCCAGATTTGTCTGTTGCTTGGAATACACCCATGGAATCTATGTATCTGAAGCTATCATTAACAGCTATAATTTCCTAGCATATTGAAGCCTGAGTGAACATGGAAAACCCTTAAGAGAACATGTTGCACCGAGAAAGAATTTTGGTTAATTGAATAGTGAAGGAATTAATGCTTTGTTCTTCCTCACTCAGTAAGCAGAGTCAATTATTGTGCTGTGCAATCTCAGGCTGTTGAGAAAACACATGGGAAGCAATGAATATGGTTCAACCCACCACTCCCATATTTTGAAGCTGATCCACAGCATCAGTGTCTGGCCTGATCCCTGTTGCCAGCATGTCCTGGCCAATCAGTGAGATCAGATGACCTTACACACAGAGAGGTCATGTTTGTGGCATTATCTGGCACAAACCTGCAACATTTTAGGGTTTCCGGAGCTCACGTTTGTCATTCCAATTGAGTTGCTGCTTCTCTTTCTAGTGATTCAGCTGGACCACTTGCCCAGAAATACTGAACCTCTGGTTGGGGTTCAGATCCAGTCTCCCTGGGGTCCTACTCTGGTCCTCTGAAGTTCCAAGATGGCCAGGCTTCCTTCCCTTGGCTCCATCCCCTTTCTCCCAACTTGCCATCATATGCTGATGTTCCAACTTTTGAGCTGTTTTTTTTTTTTACTCCATTCTAACAAGGCTGAAATGTGTCTCCTAAGACTTAGCTACTGACTATATAATCTTTAATGTAAGTTATACTGGTATATTTTTTATTTGTGGTCCTATCTCTTTTGCCTTCAGTCTTGCCTTCCACTAGAATATTGGCCATGAAAGGTTTTCTGAGAAGGAATTTGCCTTCCTGGCCCAAAGCCTAAAGCAATCTTCCCCCAGCCTCCACATGTCTTGTTCTAGAACCCCTACCAGCCCCATCACAGTCAGTGGTCAAGGATGATGAGAGCTGTGGTACAAAACACCCTGAGGGGCACCAGGCTGAGAAATGCTGATCACCTGGCAGGTTGGCAACATTCTTGGTCTCTGGTGAGTTGCCCGATGCTCATAATGGTTGAGTTCACACCACTGCTGAGAAAAAGGAGCCAGAGTAGCTTATTTTGTCCATGCCCATGCAAGCTGGTTGTGCACTGTGTGATTTGCCACCTTAACCTGGTAGCATATGCATTGTTGTGCCATCCAAATCCAGTGAGGTCCCTGGCAACTGATGGTTTTCAAAGCACCCCTGTACTGTACAAAGCTATAGGCTGGAGGCTGCTTTGGCAGCCAACTCCCTCACATACTTTTCTGGGTTCAGATGACATGGCAACCGCTGCACAATGAGAATAATTAGGCAAATTGGGCAGCACATGGCCAGAAGAGACAGGGCAGGAGAAAAGCCACTGTGACATCTACTCACGGCCATCCTGCTGGGTCCTTATTCAAATGTTCTTTACCTCAAAGGCGATCCCGCCCCAGGCAATTCAAAGGCAGGTCTCCAAATAAAACCACACACACAACTTTACATAAACCAGGGAATTGCTCCACTAATGTCTTGCAGCATCATTCAAGCCAGGTGACCTAGTGGTTGGGGTAGGAACAGCCAGAAGAAAACATCAAATTCATATTTTGCCATATTTAGCAGGTAGCAGCTTTGTAAATCTGTTTTATAAAATTGAAAGGTGGAATATAAATAATCAAAATAAAGATGTGTAATGGGGGGGGGACCAAGCACTTATTTCTCGGGGCTTCTGGATAAGGCTTTGGTGGGACTATCACCCCAACACATTCATGGAATTTTGCAGGTGTCCAGAAGGTGTGTCTTCCACTTGTAATCCTCCTGTGTTTCCTAGCACCATTTAATTCCTTTTCGCTCACCTTAGTAAATCCATTAAGAATGTTGGAATAGATTTGCGAAGCCTTCCCACCGGCACACTAGGGGCTAGAAGCATCTTCTGTAAGATGGGCAGGGTCTCTCCTCTGCAACTGGGGCTGTGCACCTAAGCTCCTAGATAGCTCTAGAGGACTGTCAGGGCACAGTCTGAACCCCTGTTGGCTTAGGGAATCTTAGTGATGCTCATTTCTTCCCGTCTATGCTGCAAAGCAACCATTTTAGAAACCCAGTATTGGCTCCCGTGGGGGTTTGTGGTCCAGAGAGGACCAGAGTGATATATTCTAAACAGACCTCACCAGGTGGCACGGAAAATGTAGCCTTGCGTGGATGATCGCTCCCTCTGTTTTACAGCTACTGTCACAAGATCTGTTTCTGTTCCTGGTCGGTGAACTCAGCCTGGTTTTTACTTTTATGTTGACTCAGAAAAAAGCACCCGCTAGGAAACGCGTTTAGGATCAGGAGCACTGATGCAATTTCCCCGTCGACTGTTTAGGGCAGCGGGAATGGGCACGATCCGTTCGCGGCCGGACTTTCTCCTGCGGAGGACTGCGGTCCCTCGAGAGAGACCCGTCCTCGGAGCCTGAGGCGGCGGGAGCACGAGGGAGGAGCCAGTCCCGTCCGCGAGTCCAGCTCCGATTTTGCAGGTGCTCCTAGGAAAGCCGAGCTCCATTGGCTACAGCGGTGTGCCTTAGCCGGGGCTTCACTCGGCAGCTCGAGTACAACGTTCGTGGGGTGGGGGGGGGAAGGCAGAGGGGCTGAAGCGCGCCGGCTCTCGCTCCCTGCCGCTCGCCCGCTCGCTCCTTCGCCCTCGCGCACTCGGGCGGCGCGGCGCGAAGGGGCGTGTGCCGATGCGGGGCTGCCTCGCCGCTCGGCGGAGACTCTCCGGCCGGAGTTAGGAAGGATGCTGCTGGAGCCGGCTGCGCTTGCACGCCCTCCGCCGCCCCTGCAACCTCCGGCACCCTCAGACTTCTCGGCCAGACTATGAAATGACTATTTTTGCTCACTTCGCCGCCGCCGCCGCCGCCGCCTGGACCCCTTGCCTCGCGCTCGCGCTGCCGCGCGCAATTTGGGCGAAAGGGCGCGCATCCTGCCAGAGGAGGAGCCCCAGCCAGGTCTATCGGCCAAGCCAAGGGGGCTGAAGGAGGGCAGAGCCGGCGAGGAAGCACGCCTTTCGGAGGGGCTTCTTCCACCCCGCGCTGCCAGCAAGTGTGCTCAAAACTGCTGCCCGAGGCAGGACCGGCAGCTTCCTCTCCAGAGGGACGGCGCGGCGCAAAACTGCGCGGCGCAACGCCTCTCTCTGTCGCTCGCTCTCGCTCTCTCGGGGAGACTTCTCGTCGCCGCCGTCGCTGTCCCTTTCGTCCTCCAAGAAAAGTCGAGCGGGACGGCAGGGCTGCGTCCGGAGCGGGCCGTTGCAGCCGCTGCCGCGGAGAAAGTGGGGCGGCTGCTGCTCCTGGACTTCGGCTTCGGCGCGTCTGTGGCTTGGGGCTTGCCGCCGCCGCCGCCGCAGAGCTCCCACTTCGCCAGCAGCCATGGGGAAAGGGCTGGAAGCCACCGCGGCTCGCTACGGGCTGGGACTGGGATACTTACTGCAAATGGTCGTGCTCCCCGCCTTGGCCATCCTGAGCGCCAGCAGCCCGGGCTCGGCTGCGCAAGGTAAGGCTGCGCCTGCTGGCGGGCGGCGCTTCTCGCTCGCTCGCTCGCTCTCTCTTGCCGCTCCCCGCGGCTCTTCCTGCACCTGGAGCGATGGTTTGCCCGGCCGGCCAGGCAAGGGTGGGCTGAGTGGCCTCCCAGCTCCGCCGCTCACCGAGCATGCATCCTGGGCACGGCAGGCGACCTTTGCTTCCACAGGTTCCTTGCAAGAAGCCCCGCGAGCGAGTGAGCGGGCGCGCTTTTGCGGGGAGGTGCAGAACCTCTCGTGGGAAGGCAGGTTCGGCTGCCGGGGCTCCGACGGGGCCACTTGGAGCCCGCCTCTGAGTGCTCTTCTCGGGAGCAAGTCCCGCCGCCGCCGCGGTCCCTCTCGCCTTCCGAGCCACCAAGCCGGCAGCCCGACTGGGCGACGCGCTTGCCTGCAAAGAGCGGTGGGTGCCTGGACCAAGCAGGCGGCGTCTGCCCGGGTTTCTTCGGGCATTTTCTCCTCCTCCGCGCAGCTTCGGCTGCGGAGAAACTTAAAAGCGCGCACACGCTCGCTCTCTCGCTCACTCTCTTACACACACACACACACACGCAGAGCGAGCGAAGGGTTTTCCCCTTTCTGGCAAAAGGGGAGAGAGACCATTCACCCCCGCCCCGCACACTTTCTCCCAAATCCGCCCTGCGCTTTTAAGAGGACACGAGGAGAGCCAGGTTGTGCTCCGTGTCGGGGCCTCTTGCCGCTGAAAAGTGTGGCGAGCTCCGATCTCGCAGCCTTCGAGCCTCCCCTGAGCCCTTTGCAAAGGGAACAGCAGAGGGGGCAGACTCCGGGGCTGACCGGGTTGCCAGACGGCAGGAGCGAAGCAGAGCAGGGAAGGAGGCAGAACTGGGCGGGAAGACAAGCACTTGTGCTGCTTTGGGATGCTCAGCTCCCTAGTTTAGGGTGAACAGAGTCAGGCTGTGCAGTTGGGCATCTCACCTTCCTTCCCCACCCGCTCTGGTCCAGCAGGCACCTTGGAAAGGACTAACCAGGTCGCTCTTCTGCCGACGAGCTTCTCTTCCGGAAGGTGCCTGTAGATGTTTCCGCGCATTGGGGTTGCTATACAGCTACTTGCTCTGGGTGTGTGGCTGAGGTGTTGTTACCACATGGCCTCTTTCTACCTTTCTGCAACCATGTATTTATTTCTTCAGGGTTCTCACCCCCCCCCCCCATTCTTAAATTTCAAATCTGGTTTCCAGCACACGCATCACCTTAGTTGAATCGATCACATCCATGTTCTCTATTGGTCCAGTCCATTTACCCCTGACCTTTTTGGCTTGGGTAAGTCCCCAGCCTTGCTTGGTGGCCCCTTGCATTTGCTGACAGGTTTATGATGGCAGCAGCCTTTAAGGTGCCACAAGACGGGGTGTCTGTGTGTGTGTGTTGTATGATCTGCTGCAACGGACTTAACAGGGCTCTCCCTTTGGTATTTGTCTTTCAGTAGGAAGACTTCAGGGAGAGTGAGCTGTTGGCATGTTTGAGTTAGCTCAAAACATGAGCCGAAGTTTGGCAGCCAGGAAGAGAGGCAGAGCGAGAGAGCGACAGGGCTGACCCATGGGGCACAATCCACTGGGAAAGCTGCCTGTGCCAGTCATATGGAAAAGGACAGCACAGTAATTCTCCTTCATTTCATTGGAGCTTGAAAAGGAGAACATCTTGTGTATTAAATCACGGCTTGGAAGGCACCCTTTGGATTGTCCATCTCAAGCACAAAAATGTCTTGGAGAGGCCTGCAAGGAATGATCCTATGATATGCATCTGCTCCTTGCTGAATGTTTCCCCTTTCCTAAATACTTCTGTGTGGACAGTGTTATTAAAAAGCAGCAATGGCATGCCAGAGTTGGAAGTGTGATGCCTCACTAAAAACTTTGGGGCCAAAGGGACTTAAGTGTTTTGCACCTGAAGGCAGCTCATGCCGGGTCATTTGCAGAGATGCCAGGAGGTACAGCACACTCTGCTTTTCCTGCATTGGCATTCCCATGAAAACTTGACAAAATATGCAGCCTCTGAACAGTCTGTAAAACTCCCATCCCAGTTTGTAAGATCTTTGAACATTTGCTAGGTTCTAGTTGATTATTATCTTTTATAATGCCATTTTAAACTACAGTTGTTTGTCTTTTTCTTTTAATTATTTTGAATCGCCCAGAGAGACTGGCGGCAGTATTGAAATGTAATAAAGATAGCAAAAAAGCCCATTGAACTCAGCTGGAACAGCTAACTGCTCCATCTTTTCCACGTCTATTTAAAAGTAAGCCCCATTGAACTCAGTGGGCTTACTTTTAAGTAGACATCTCTATGAGGGAGTGGTAAACTGTTTGTTGCATTGACGGTTCAAGTTGTTTTGGCTTCAAAGCCAACTGGAGACACAGACATTAAACTTCTGTTGTAACTTGTGGGGAGAGCCTGTTGTAGTCACCATTTGTTGATTTGCCTGCTGTTTGCAGGGTTGTCTGCCTTTGCTCAAAATGCTGGCTTGCCTGATACTTGATTGATTAGGGGAGCTGAAAAAGATCCCTGCCTATCTTCAGAATGAATTCCTGTAGGAAAACGATAAGGTTCCCCCGGTTCATACTGGCAATCTGGTGAATTCCAGGTCTTTTCACATAACATCCAACCTGAACAAACACATAGAGCTAATCGGGGAACAAAGCAGACAGCCAAATGGGAAGATAATCTGGTTAGTATTGGAAAGTTGGGGCGAATGGGTGGAGGTCTTATAAAAGGGACTGTTAGTTGTCCTGCTAGCGCTCCATTGTATATTGGGCCATTTTTGACAGGCAAAGCCTCTAGGCAGTGAATCCTTCTTCCCTCTTTTTCCTTTGCACAGCAGGAAAAGAACTTTCACGAACTGTTTGGCCACCTCTGTCCCACACACACGTGCACCACCCGTACCGCCTGATGCCTGCCACGCTGTAATCCGCCTCCCTCCCCTTTTTCTCAGTTTATATAGTGAGTGGCGCTATCCACAGGTACGCCACCCCACTTTTTAAACTCCGATTCAGTCTGCAATATTTAATATTATAGCCTGAAGACACAGTGTCAGCCATCTTTCTGAATTACTTTTGTGCCTGGTCATGTTTCTCTGTTATTCTGTGAATGTTTTGATACATTCTGATGGGTCGTGTCTCTGTGTGACATTTGCCTGGTTTACTACTTCATGTTGCATTTGCGTAGCAAGAGTCTCTCAGTGACTGCCATCTGGAACTCTCTTTGCCATACACCAGTTGACTCAGTAATAGGTGGTAGAAGGAAGCCCCGTTCATGGGTTGATCTGTAGACCATACACAGCGAGGATGAGCTGCTGCATTAAAATAGCTGAGAAACCTGTTTTCATTGTTACCATGGAAAAGAGAAGGGGGAAGATGACACCAGAAATACATATTTTTGCCAGCACAGCTGAGAAACATTGTGTGGGGAGTGGTGGGTGGGGGAAGAGAACAGGTGCCAGATCCAGCAGGTGGCAAGGTTGCCATTTTCCTAGTCCTTAAAGGGACCGTTGTCTCAATAGGATGCGCTTCTCAGTTGGCACAAAACATCCCGGAAAGTCAGAAGCAACAGAAGGTAATTCTTCATATGCAGGGTATTCCCCTTTCAGTTTCAGGACCCTCATCTTGGATCCAGTCTTAGAGCAAACAATATATGCATAGTGTGCCTACAAAAACTGAACTATTTCAGCATTATCTTCATTGTCGATGGCAATAGCATCAATTAGGCTGCACGTGCATTTGGACCTTTTAAAGTATTGTGTGAAAACTGCAGTGGGTTTCCAAAAATATTTGTAGGTCCTTGTCAGCTACCAGGAGACTGGATGGATGAATGGAATTGCTTAGGTCATTTTGCTTGTACCAAAAAGCTCTTTTCTCATGTCCAGACTTACCTAATATACTGGTCACATGAATGAGGTTGGCCTCAGATATTTTTGTGAATCAAAAATTGCTTGGTTTAGTCCCTGGGTTGGACCATTTTCTTTTAAATTAGAGAAACCGAAGACAGCAAAATGGCACCCCCTCTGCAATCGGCTGTCCGATGCAACTGCTTCGTATTATTTCAGTGAGATAGTCTGGGTGGGAGTCCTGCAGCTGGAAGTGATGAGAAACCTGAGAAACCTTGATAGTCATCAGTCCTTACCCTCTCAACAGCAGTGCAGACTGTCATGCTAAGCATGGATACTGCAGAGTCATGAAATGTATACAAGTCCTTTTCTAATACCAGTGTTGCATTAGTCCCCCTTGTGCACATGGCAGTGAGTTGCATGCATCAGCTGTGTGAGAAGCTTTCGCCTGATCATACGCTAAAAAGGTGGCTGTCCATGGGCTGTGGGATCCGGAGCTCAAACATTTAAGAAACTCAGCATTGTACAGCTGGCCTTGTTACAGCTGCCCTAATAAGAAATCATCGTTCCTTCCTCTGTGTCACCATTTATGTTCTGTACAGCATGTGTATACCACTGCATATCTTCTACACAGATTCTGGGGTGGAGCTGGAACCAACTCGTGTGTGCTGATATTGATATTACTGTTGATCCATGTAAAACTTAAATACTTACTCATTTCATATGTAGCAGTCACTACTGCAGTAGGATTAGCAGAGTTATTTGTAGTGGACTATGATAAACAAGATAGAAAAGTTTCTAGAACTGTAGGTACAGGTAAGCACATTAATTAGGTTGCCTGCATATGGAAAAGTTTCTGCTCCCTTCATGTGGGGGGAACACCTCTGCAATATTAGCCAGATGTTGATTTCTTACACTTTTGTTCCAAATTCAGTTATGCATTCTATTTCCTGTGTTCTTTCATAATAATAAGATGATCATTAACAGCATACTGGTCTTCTGATCTTAATTAACACTGTGTAATGAATGAGAGAAGAATCATACTATACCAAGAAAATCATATATAACACGCCTTCGAAATCAGATGGTTAATGCAATAACAAATGCATGTATTGGCATGAAAGATGTTGCATAAAAAGAAAAGGTAACCAT